GAGAGAGAGAGAGGTCCGCCCACACTCACCACCCGCAGGACAAGTTGTCGGTAGTAAGAGCGCAACAGCTCATGACAAATGAAACAATGACGTTGTGCGTGCTGACTGACTCACCTACATATCCCGGTGTGCCGCAGGCGGTCGCCATGATACCGGAGCCCTCCATCTTGGACAAGCCGAAGTCGCTGATCATGATCTTGGAGTCGTCAGCAGGACTGTAGAACAGCAAGTTCTCCGGCTGTGGAAGATTAAAAAAAGACAAACGTCACGCGGCGCCAACACACTCAAAGGTCAAACATGTTGAAATGGTAAATGTTTTTAGTTTCAGTTTTAGTAGAGGGTTTTACGGCACTCGCAACTGCACAAGGTCGTATGAGCGCCAGAAGATTAGAGGTGTCACAAGAGAGTAACAAACATAAAAAAGAAGAAGGGGAGATAAGGACGACAGATATTTGATAGGAAAGAAGAAGCAAACCACACCAGAGCACCGGCCAACCACCCACGGTAAATGTTTAACGCCCCTATCAACACTATTAAGTTATTTAAGAGGCGGGACCTCTGAATGTAACGTCCATCTGCGAAAAGATCGAGCCAAATGGGAACTCCGTGTAAAGTGCCTTTCCCAAGGACACAGCGTCGGATCAAGCTAAGGTCGAACCCCCGAACCTGTAATCTCACGATTACGAGCCCGGTAGCCTTATACGGGGTGCCCACTACGGCTGGATCAGGCAGATCGCCCGACTCGGTCGCCTGAAACTGAAAACAAACACGTTTGTTTTTGAGACGATCGAGTTGGGTGGGCGGATCTCATCCATAGTGGGCACCCGTATAACCATTAAGCTACTGATGCCACTCGAAGGTCACAACTAGTACTGTCAGACCTGCACTAACGGCCACCTGCTTGTGAAGCACATCGAAACAATAGTGGTCATGTAGTTCTGGGAAAAAGTAAGACAAACAGAACAGACAGACAGAAAGAAAAAATAGAGCGAAAGTAAAGAAGTAGGACCTATAGAGTGGCGTCCCCCAACCACCCACACGGCCACCTGTAGGACTACGGCTACAATAATGTTACTAACAAATATCCAAGTCAATAACCTGCACACACACCCCCCTCCTTTGCACGTTTTTAGATTTTCTAACAACATTGTTCAAGTCGTCTACCTGTCTAAAGCAACCACTTTTCTCCTCGGCATTATTTATTTATATATTTTTTAAAAACTCTAATGGCGTTCCCTGGTGAAAAAAAAGGTCAGCCGGATTATTTAAATGGCCTGTAATGTGTGATAAACCAAATATTAATAATAGAATGGCCTGTAACGTATTATGATACACCATAAGTAAAGTAACGTAGGGGGCATAATGAGTTAATGGAAAGGCCCATATGTAAGGTATGATACACCAAGAGATGAGTTGTGTGTGTGTGTGTGTGTGTGTGTGTGTGTG